CCCCTACATCCATTCAAAGTGCACTATTTACATAGGATCTCTCAGCTCCCAAATAAAAAATGGGCGGGGAGCCTGAAGTTTCATCAGCGAGGAGAGCTCTGAGAGCTGATTGGAGGGAAAAGAAACCAAATCCCCTCCCACACAGCACACAGGAACAGAAGCTGAGGTTGTCAATCTGCTGGAGGTCCCTCCTCTGTCAACATTTTTTTTTTCTTCGTGTTAGGAAAACTTGTCAGAAGTGACACATGCTTATAGCAAAGGAATGAAGTGGTAGAGAGAATTTGACACTTAGTGCTCTTTAGCTGATGAGCGAATCGAACTTGGGCGAAGTGGAATTCGTCTTCGAGATATTAGGAAAAAATTCGATTCGTGCGCTTTCCGAAAGTCTGATAATTTTCGGATTGGATGCGCGAATCGAAATTTTGCAAGAAAATGGGCGGCGACATGTGGTGGCGACGGAGCGGGTGGAATCTCTGGGCAGGGGACGCAGGCGACACAGGCGCGCTGGACCCTTAATGAATGCATTCATCCTCAATGACTGCATGTGTGACCCCGCATTCGGCCTATCTGCAGCCCAGGCCCGCCAGCACTTGTGTTATTGGGTCGAGCTACTAAATTTCGACACTTAGATTCTCCATTAGCCTCCAGTATTTCAAGAGAGACAGACCTCTCTTGATATTTGGGACAGAGTTAGTGGCCCAAAGAGACTTTAGGGCCACGCAGAATCGTTACTTAGGGTCACAGAATTGTTACTCCAGGACCACAGAATTGTTACTCAGGGGGGGCGACACAGACACAGAACTGTTACTCAGGGACACAGAATTTGTTTACTTCAGGGACAGACACAGAATTGTTACTGAGGGACACAGAAACTGTTACTGAGGGACCACAGAATGTGTTACAGAGGGACACAGAAATTGTTTAGCTCAGGGACAGACACAGAATTGTTACTGAGGGACACAGAATGGTTACACTCGGGAACACAGAAGATTCTCTACTGGAGGCAGACACAGAAGTGTTTTACTCAGGGACAACAGAACTGATACTCAGGGAGAGACACATAGAATTGTTACTCAGGGCAACAGAACTGTTACTCAGGGACACAGAAATTGTTACTCAGGGACAGCCACAGAATTGTTTACTGAGGGGACACAGAATTGTTACTGAGGGACACAGAATTGTTTACTCGAGGGGACACAGAAATTGTTACCGTCAGGGGACAGACACAGAATTGTTACAGAGGGGCACAGAACTTGTTACCTAGAGAGGACAGAATTGTTATCAGGGACACAGAATTGTTTACTCAGGACCACATAATTCGTTACTCCAGGACACAGAACTGTTACTCAGGGACACAGAATTGTTACTCAGGACACAGCAGAACTGTTACTCAGGGACAGACAACAGAATTGTTACTGAGGGACACACAGAACTGTTACTGCTCAGGGATCACAGAATTGTTTACTCAGGTGACAGACACAGAATTGTTACTGAGGGACACAGAATTGTTACTGAGGGACACAGAATTGGTTACTGAGGGACACAGAATTGTTACTCAGGGGACACAGAATTGTTACTCAGGGACACAGAATTGTTACTCAGGGACACAGAACTGTTACTCAGGGACACAGAAATGTTACTCAGGGACACAGAATTGTTTACTCAGGGACACAGAATTGTTACTCAGGGACAGACACAGAATTGTTACTGAGGGACAAAGAATCTGTTACTGAGGGACACAGCATTGTTACTCAGGAACAGAGACACAGAATTGTTACTGAGGGACACAGAATTGTTCACTCGGGACACAGAACCTGTTACTCAGGGACACAGAATTATTACTCAGGGACACAGAACTGTTACTCAGGGACCACAGAAAATTGTTACTCAGGGACACAGAACTGTTACTCAGGGACACAGAATTGTTACTCAGGGCACAGAACACAGAATTGTTACTGAGGGTCACAGAATTGTTACTGAGGGACACAGAATTGTTATGAGGGGACACAGAATTGGTTAACTCAGGGACAGACACAGAATTGTTATGAGGGGACACAGAAATTGTTACTCAGGGCCACAGAAACGGTGTTACATAGGGGACTACAGAATTGTTACTCAGGGACACAGAACTGTTACTCAGGGACACAGAATTGTTACTCAGGGACAGAAACTTGTTACTCAGGGACACAGAATTTGTTACTCAGGGACAGACAGAATTGTTACTGAGGGACCACAAACGTGTTACTGAGGGACACAGAATGTGTTACTCAGGGGACAGACACAGAATTGTTACTCAGGGACACAGAATTCTAATGTTACTCAGGGACACAGAATTGTTTCTACAGGGACACAGAATTGTTTACTCAGACTACACAGAACTTTACTCAGGGACACAGAAATTGTTACTCAGGGACAGACACAGGAATTGTACTAGGGCACAGAAATTGCTACTGAGGGACACAGAATTGTTACTCAGGGCCACAGACACAGAATTGTTACTGAGGAACACAGAATTGTTACTGCAGGGACACAGAACTGTTACTCAGGGACACAGAATTGTTACTCAGGACACAGAACTAGTTACTTAGGGACGACAGAAATGTTACACAGACGGACAGACACAGAATACTCAGTACTCAGGACACAGAATTTTCACTCATGGACAAGACACGTACCGTTTTAACTCAGCCAGACAGAATTTGTTACTCAGGGACAGACACAGAATGGTACTCACATGTTTTCTCAGGGACACAGAATTGTTTACTCAGGGACACAGATTGTTACTCAGGGCACACAGAATTGTTACTCAGGGACACAGAATTGTTACTCAGGGACACAGAATTGTTACTCAGGGACACAGAATTGTTACTCAGGGACAGACACAGAATTGTTACTGAGGGACACAGAATTGTTACTGAGGACACAGAAACTGTTACTCAGGGACAGACACAGAATTGTTACTGAGGGACACAGAATTGTTACTGAGGGACACAGAATTGTTACTCAGGGACAGACACAGAATTGTTACTGAGGGACACAAATTGTTAGAGGACACAGAATCGTTACTCAGGGACAGACACAGAATTGTTAGAATTAAACACAGATCGTTACAGACTACAGCAGAGGAGTGGCAGAGCACACAGAAGTGTTACTCAGGACAACAGAAGTGGTATCAGGGACACAGGAATCGGAATTAAAAGGTCGTACAGACAACACGCAGGCAAGAGGAGGCAATGTTTCAGGAGCGAGCAGACGTTGGCAGCAGAGGAAGGGGTCGAGGCAGCACTAGTCGCAGCCAGAGGCAGTGCTCCCGGTGTCCATCCAGCCTGCGGTCGTGTCTCACACGACAACCCTGCCGTCATCGATTGGTTGGCTTCGGTCGTCTTCCTCTTCCCAGGTCACCTCTGACACTACAGCAGCAAACGGTCGGTGGGTTACGTCAGACACAACCGTTAGTTGGCATGGCCCGGGAGCAAGCCCACTGAAATCACGTGTCCTCTACCTGCCCCTGTCCTTTGTGTTCCTCACCAAGCGAAGTATCGCATGCTGTGGGCTCAGCCCCACTGTACAGTGAGGAAGAGCTAACAGAGGGCGGTCAGGAACGGGGGGAGACATCCGCCTTTTCAGCAGCCAGGCGAAGAAGTACTGGCGACTGGCGAGAAGAGTGGGCTCGTAGTAGCCGGTCTAGAGACAGGTCTCTGTCTCCTGACAGCACAGCGAAGAGCCGAGGTAGGGTCTAGAGAGGAGGGTGGGGCACAGTTAGTGAGGCGGAGACCGAGGGGATGTCCAGTATGTGAGGCTGGATCGCACTTGGCAGCCTCCAGTCATTGCAGTCGCTGCTCGTCATCATCAGGCTATTGCTTCCGCATCATCAGGAGAAGTTAGGGTGCCAGCTTGGCAGTAGCGAGCAAAACAGTCGGTGGGTTGCCCAGGAGGCTGCAGCAGGGTCGCAGCAGTGTCAGTGGAGGAAAACGGGCCACGGAGTAGTAGAGCACCAGCTCCACTGCAGTCTACCACCACGGCCAGTAGTGGTGTGCCGGAGGACAGTACGCAGTCAGCACGGAGTTAGCTCGGGTAGGCAAAGTCATACTCCAGCGGTGCTGGCAGGAGTAGCGGGGTCAAAGTTTAGCTTACGCCAGGCCGGTCTGTGTGGCCAATTTTTCAAGTCAGGGGGCCCATTGTCTCCATCGACTGCCAGCCCCACTGCAAGTAGCCAATAAGCTTACAGAGTAGCGTTCACTGAATAAAGTTCCGATTTTGTCGATATGTGGTAGTCTGGCAGTCTTAGCGTGGCCAGGGGATTGCTGCTGCCTCCATCGCCACACTCTGGCCATGTGCCACTTTCAGGTCTCCTCACACTGCTGCCAGGCCCGTTCCATTTTGTCATAGGTGCTGGCAGATTAACGGGCCTCCATCCCATTGCTGCTGCCCAGGACCCTCCTCACACTCTGTCCATGGGCCTGCTGTACCCGCCTCCATCATGCTGCTGCCAGGGCCCGTAATCTGTCTGCCATGGGTCCCTGTACCGGCCTCCCATTGCTGCTGTCTCCATCGCCACACTCTGCCATGTGGTCCACTTTCACGGTCCTCCTCACACTGCTGGTGGGTTCCATTTTGTCATAGGGTGCTGGCAGATTACGGGCCTCCCCATTGCTGCTGCCGAGGCCCGTAATCTGCCATGGGCCCCTGTACCGCCTCCTCATTAGCTGCTGCCAGGCCGTGTAATCCTCATCTGCGCGTTAGTCCATCTCTCGGAGTCCCTGTACGCTCCCATGCTGCTGCTGCCAGCCATGGGTCCCTGTACCTGCAGATTACTCCTCGCTGCCTCCCATTGCTGCTGTCTCCATCTGCCATCGCCACACTCTGCCATGTGCCACTTTCAGGTCTCCTCACACTGCTGGTGGGTTCCATTTTGTCATAGGGTGCTGGCAGATTACGGCCTCCTATTGCTGCTGCCAGGCCCGTAATCTGTCATGGGCCCCCTGTACCCGCTACTCCTCTCATGCTGCTGCCAGGCCCGTAACCTGTCATGGGTCCCTGTACGGCCTCCCATTGCTGCTGTCTCCATCGCCACACTCTGCCATGTGCCACTTTCAGGTCTCCTCACACTGCTGGTGGGTTCCATTTTGTCATAGGGTGCTGGCAGATTACCGGCCCTCCTATTGCTGCTGCCAGGCCCGTATCTGTCTATGGTATGCCCTGTAACCGCCACCTCTCATGCTGCCAGGCCCGTATCTGTCATGGGTCCTGTACGCCTGCCCATGTACGCTCCCATTGCTGCTGTCTCCCATCGCCACACTCTGCCATGTGCCACTTTCAGGTCTCCTCACACTGCTGGTGGGTTCCCATTTTGTCATAGGGTGCTGGCAGATTACGGGCCTCCCATTGCTGCTGCCAGGCCCGTAAATCTGCATGGGTCCCTCATGCTGCTGCCAAGGCCCCGTAATCTGTCAATGGGCCCCTGTACCACCAACCCGCCTCCTCATGCTGCTGCCAGGTCCAGAGTGTCTCATGGGTCCCTGTACGGCCTCCCATTGCTGCGTCTCCATCGCCACACTCTGCCATGTGCCACTTTCAGGTCTCCTCACACTGCTGGTGGGTTCCATTTTGTCATAGGGTGCTGGCAGATTACGGGCCTCCCATTGCTGCTGCCAGGCCGTAATCTGCCATGGGCCCCCGTAACCACCGACTCCTCATGCTGCTGCCAGGCCCGTAATCTGTCATGGGCCCCTGTACCCCCCCCCCGCCTCCTCATGCTGCTGCCAGGTCCAGAGTCTGTCTCATGGGTCCCTGTACGGCCTCCCATTGCTGCTGTCTCCATCGCCACACTCTGCCATGTGCCTCTTTCAGGTCTCCTCACACTGCTGGTGGGTTCCATTTTGTCATAGGGTGCTGGCAGATTACGGCCTCCCATTGCTGCTGCTGCCAGGCCCGTAATTATGCCATGGGCCCCCGTACCGACTCCTCATGCTGCTGCTGCCCGTAATCTGTCATGGGCCCCTTGTACCGCCTCCTCATGCTGCTGCCAGGTCCAGAGTCATGGGTCCCTGTACGGCCTCCCATTGCTGCTGTCTCCATCGCCACACTTGCCATGTGCCACTTTCAGGTCTCCTCACACTGCTGGTGGGTTCCATTTTGTCATAGGGTGCTGGCAGATTACGGGCCTCCCATTGCTGCTGCCAGGCCCGTAATCTGCATGGGCCCTCGTACCGCCTCCTCATTGCTGCTGCCAGGTCCAGAGTGTCTCATGGGTCCCTGTACGGCCTCCCATTGCTGCTGTCTCCATCGCCACTCTCTGCCATGTGCCACTTTCAGGTCTCCTCACACTGCTGGTGGGGTTCCATTTTGTCATAGGGTGCCTGGCAGATTACGGGCCTCCATTGCTGCTTGCAGGCCCGTAATCTGACCATGAGTGTACCGACTCCTCATGGGTCCCCAGGCCTGTATCTTGTCTCATTGGCCCTGCTGCCAGGCCCATAATCTGTCATGGGCCCCTGTACCGCCTCCTCATGCTTCTGCCAGGTCCAGAGTGTCTCATGGGTCCCTGTACGGCCTCCCATTGCTGCTGTCTCCATCGCCACACTCTGCCATGTGCCACTTTCAGGTCTCCTCACACTGCTGGTGGATTCCATTTTGTCATAGGGTGCTGGCAGATTACAGGCCTCCCATTGCTGCTGCCAGGCCCGTAATCTGCCATGGGCCCCCGTACCGACTCCTCATGCTGCTGCCAGGTCCAGAGTGTCTCATGGGTCCCTGTACGGCCTCCCATTGCTGCTGTCTCCATCGCCACACTCTGCCATGTGCCACTTTCAGGTCTCCTCACACTGCTGGTGGGTTCCATTTTGTCATAGGGTGCTGGCAGATTACGGGCCTCCCATTGCTGCTGCCAGGCCCGTAATCTGCCATGGGCCCCCGTACCGCCTCCTCATGCTGCTGCCAGGTCCAGAGTGTCTCATGGGTCCCTGTACGGCCTCCCATTGCTGCTGTCTCCATCGCCACACTCTGCCATGTGCCACTTTCAGGTCTCCTCACACTGCTGGTGGGTTCCATTTTGTCATAGGGTGCTGGCAGATTACGGCCTCCCATTGCTGCTGCCAGGCCCGTAATCTGCCATGGGCCCCCGTACCGACTCCTCATGCTGCTGCCAGGCCCGTAATCTTTCATGGGCCCCTGTACCGCCTCCTCATGCTGCTGCCAGGTCCAGAGTGTCTCATGGGTCCCTGTACGGCCTCCCATTGCTGCTGTCTCCATCGCCACACTCTGCCATGTGCCACTTTCAGGTCTCCTCACACTGCTGGTGGGTTCCATTTTGTCATAGGGTGCTGTATGGCCTCCCATTGCTGCTGCCTCCACCGCCACACTGTGGCTCCACACTCTGGTTTTGGCCCCGTGACTGCCCAAATGAGTGAAGTGTGCGGTGATTCTAAGATCGACGGCACTCATCTGCATGTCATACTGACTGACAGTATTATTTCTCTTCCCCAGCAGACTCCAAGGGCATTTAAATTAAGGGTACAGTGTTCTGCACTAATATAAAGGCTCTCTGAAGCCTAGAAACACCCTTTTTTATAAGTTAATTTCGCAGCGAATATATTCGCCTCGAATCGAATTTATTCCTCGAATTCGCCGAATCAGCCGAATCGAATTTTTGAATACTTCGCTCATCTCTAGTGCTCTTAATTGAGACAAGTGCACACTTTACAGGGGTATGTTTTTGTTCATACTTCATATCTGAGATTTACAACCACTTTACATAAAATACAGGACTATTCAGCAACCAGCAACTGCTGAGACGATAAACACTTTGTTCAGATGTATATACAATACAGTGTATATAGTGCAGGAGGATGTAATATAAAATAGGTCTGTCATCTACACAATCCCCCTATAAATTTTCAGACCTCAATTTAGAGCATGGCATGGGTAACATACTTCATCCAGGGCTCTTCCTTGTGAGTGTTATGTGATCCCTTAGACCTTAGAAGGAGCCTAGGGAAAGCTTATCATTAGCAATCTGATAGGCAGCTGCAGCTGTCGGAGAGCAATGCTGATTGCAGCAATGGCAGGGCAGGGTTCGTGTCATTGGGGACCCGGGGCAACCTGTATGAGATGCGGGACCCGTGCCCTGTGTGCCCAATGTTGGCAATGCCCCTGATATCAGTAGATTTTTGAATGAATGTTTGTATGAAAATTTTCAGTACAATCAATTATGAATTTCATTTGAAAGTACTTCAAAAATTGTGTTTGCTTTTAACATTCTATATTGGGATAAATAGACTATACCAAATGAAAACCAAATTAAATGAAAAAGTTTGAACTACATTCTACTAGTGTATAGTACAACTTTAGTAGTGCTTTGACCTTTTTACTGCCACCGACATCTGTCATACACATTATATTCTGTCAGTTACACCCTCCACTTTCAAGATACACAAGTCAGGAGCTGCGAGGCAATTTTTCCAACAAGTCCCTTTGACAGCAGTTGATCAAGTGATCAACTTCTGTTGAGTGGGGATGGCCACATATTGATTAATATTTTGGCCAGTCTCTCCTGAACCAAAAGAATTTAGGTCAGTGTATGGGCAGTTTAAAACTGATCTCCATGGTGATGTTAAAAAACACCAATTCAGGCGAGATTGGGTGTATTCAGGGTGATGTGGCCATAGGCAAAAATGGGGGGGGGGGGCACCACATGGCTCTGGTTGGTGGTGTGTAGTTGATAGTTGCATGCGTTTTCCCAGGGAAGTGACCTAGAGCTGGATACTGCTTGGAGCTTACCCCAGCAGTGGATGAGGAAGGCTGACAGCTGTAGAGCCAAGGACCACTGCCGGAAGAGGAAGGAAGAGAGAGGAGTGAAAGGGCAAGTACAGATACATTGGCTTGCTGGGGAGCTCATAGAGACTCCAGTTAAGACTTACTGGCCCATGTGTGCCTCTTAACTGCTGGTAAAGCATTTGCGCTCGCTCCATCTACTTCAAGACAAACATGCTTGTCTCCTTCTGTGGTTGGACTTGAAGCACTGGTGAAGATCGCTGACAGAGCATGAATGACACAACAGAAGATTCCATCAATTGTAAGTTCAGCCTGTATATGCATGAGTTTTGATAGTATTAACCAACATATATGAAAGTAAGAACTGGCAGATACTACAACTTCACCTGCTGTGGATGGGGGGGGGGGGGTATGGGCAGCAGTTTCAATTTTATGGACTGGATGGTTAATAAGGAACAGGACACCCAGGAGGAAGTGGACAAGTGTCAAAAATCCTCAGAGGAGGAATTGGGGGGAAGGGGTAGGAGCAAGAGCAAACTAAGCAGAGGAAGCAAATTTCAGCTCAGTTAAAGTATATTTGGTGCAGGAGAAGGCAGAGATTGCGATAGGTCATGAAGAGGAGTCTAATTTGCCCCCCCCCCCTACTTTTGAGCAAAGAGCAGCACCTGCTTGGGAGGAGAAGAGGGGGAGAAGGAACAGCGCAGTTGTGAACCATGCAATTGATACCACAACCTCATTTCTACAGCCCAAAGCTCTACAGGTACCCTTCAGCCGCCCCTTCTTGGGTCCTCAGAAGTTGATGGAGAGGGAGCTTGGAAATATGCAAATTTTGCTCACCAAGCAAGATGTGGTGGATATGATGATGCACCTGGAAAGCAAGGAGAGCTGAACGCAATGGGAGTGAACATACAGAGTGTGTTGCAAAGAGTGGAGGACACAGAGGAATGTCTAGATGAACATAGACAGACTATAACAGAAAAGTGAGATAGAGCAGAATCAAAATGGACAGAGATAAGGAATATTCAATAAAGATTAGAAGAGCAAGAGACAAGAAATGGGCATTAATTGGTATTGCTGAACCTTGGCTTCATTCTTTACATGACTGGGCCATTAATATTCCTAGCTAAGTTCTCTTTCGGAGAGGCAGGGTACATACGAAAGGTGATGGTGTCTGTCTCTATGTGAGAAATGATCTCAGAGAGCGAGTGTGAAAGAGGACCTAGTTGATGGAGAGTATGATGAGGCTGAAGCATTATGGGTGGAACTGCACATGGAGGTGTGCACTACAAATGTAATAATTGAAGTTTTTGTTATAGGCCTCCCAGTGTTATTGAGGAGGTGGATACTCGTGTAGCCCCAGCAGTGCCACCTGTCAGTGCCCATCAATGCCAGCTGTCTGTGCTCAGCAATGCCACCTGCCAGTGCACATCAGCGCCACATCAATGCCAGATATCAGTGCCTACCAGTGCACGTCAGTGCCACATATCAGTGCCTATCTGAGCTGCCTTTCAGTGTCACCTATCAGTGCCAGTCAGTGCCACATATCAGTGCCGCCTATCAGTGCTGCCTATCTTTGCCACCTAACAGTGCCAGTCAGTGCCGCCTATTAGTGCCACCTATCAGTGCTGCCTTTCAGTGCCCATCAGTGATGCCTGTCAATGCCCATAAATGCCACCTACCAGTTCCTCCCCATCAGTGCCACCTATCAGTGCCCATCACTGCAGCCTCATTAGCGCACATCAGTGAAGGAGAAAAAACACTTATTTACAAAATTTTATAAAACTAAGAAAAAAAGTTTTTTTTTAAATTTTCAGTTGTTTTTGGTTTGTTTAGCAAAAAATAAAAAAACCCAGAGGTTATTAAATGCCACCAAAAGAAAGCTCTATCTGTCTCAAAAAAATTATACAAATTTTATATGTGTACAGTGTTACATGACCGCACAATTGTCATTCAAAGTGTGGCAGCGCTGAAAGCTGAAAATTGGCCAGGGCAGGAAGGGGTTATAAGTGCCCTGTAGGCAAGTGGTTAACTATAAAAATAAAGAAACACTATCATCATTTAAACATTACAAAGAATATAACAGAATATGCAAAAAGGAAAGAATGGTCGCAAAAATTGAAAATGAACGAAAGATTGAAAAAGATAGCAGGACTAACTTCAAAAAAATTCTTCAAATATATTCATAGTAAAAAGATCTGGTCCAAGCATGTAGGCCCTTTAAAAAATAATCTAGAGTGGGTGACTGGGGACAAAGAGAAGGCAAATTTATTAAATACCTTATTCAACTCTGTGTATACAAAGAAGCATGGGGGAGCTCTTGTTCATAATGGGCATGGTATTGACACAGCTCCAGATGATCCACATTGGCTCACAATTGATATGATCCAGAAATATTTAGACAGTATAAAGGTGAATAAAGCACCTGGACCGGATGGCATACACCCATGGGTCCTTAAAGAATTGAGCGCTGTCATTTCAAAGTCATTGTTTCTAATTTTTAGGGACCCTATAATGACTGGCATAGTACCACTGAATTGGCGTAAGGCCAATGTGGAGCCAATATTTAAAAAGGGGTCAAAATCTTTAAAAAAATATTTTTAATTACTTGTGAGCCACTAGAAGGTGCTCACATGTGTCTCTATATGTAATGTGTTAGATCGCCGGCTTCCTTGCCCACCATCACTTGGTGTACATCAAAAGATAGATAATAGAAAAATATGGTACCGCGCTCTAAATCAATAATACAACATCAAAACATGACCTAAATCTGTGAAAACAATAATATGCCTTAAGTGTGCATATATATACTCAAATCAATAATTACAGTGAATAAAGTCCATATATTCATGCACTTTACGTATTTGATTAATATTCCAGTGGTGATCTTAGACTATATAAGAAAAAGATCTTTTCTGCAATGTAGTGCCAGTCTCCCAATAGATGTAATATAAAGTAAATTGCAATGTGCTCTCCTCTGTGGCAAAGTGAATAATAATATGCAATAGGAGCTGCACCGTGAGTCAGTATGGTAAACGGATTCCTTTCCTTCCTCAGCAAGCTGCTTGATCATATCCTCCTCAGCAAGCTGTTTGATCTTATCCTCCTTGAATGGGACATGTAAAAAATAAGAGATGCATAGTGTCTTATCTGGGGTAAAAGGTTTTAATGTGTGCTGGTATTGCACTCACATGTGAAAAGATTAAGGTGCGCTTTGTATATACAGTACGCTGCAGACAGTGGTAAGATCAGCCTTGTAGGTGTGCCTGCGCACACTGTCAATACTCGCCGTTTCTCTGTGCGGATGCGTGGTGACGTCACTGCCCCTCCCCTACACGTTACGCTACAGGGACTCGTAGCTTCCTCTGGGGGATGTAGGCACACCTACAAGGCTGATCTTACCGCTGTCTGCAGCGTACTGTATATACAAAGCGCACCTTAATCTTTTCACATGTGAGTGCAATACCAACGCACATTAAAACCTTTTACCCCAGATAAGACACTATGCATCTCTTATTTTTTTCATGTCCCATTCGAGGAGGATAAGATCAAACAGCTTGCTGAGGAGGATATGATCAAGCAGCTTGCTGAGGAAGGAAAGGAATCCGTTTACCATACTGACTCACGGTGCAGCTCCTATTGCACATTATTATTCACTTTGCCACAGAGGAGAGCACATTGCAATTTACTTTATATTACATCTATTGGGAGACTGGCACTACATTGCAGAAAAGATCTTTTTCTTATATAGTCTAAGATCACCACTGGAATATTAATCAAATACGTAAAGTGCATGAATATATGGACTTTATTTACTGTAATTATTGATTTGAGTATATGTATGCACACTTAAGGCATATTATTGTTTTCACAGATTTAGGTCATGTTTTGATGTTGGGTCAAAATCTTTACCAAGTAATTATTGACCTGTTAGTTTAACTTCTATAGTTGGGAAGATACTGGAGAGTTTAATAAAAGACCACATAGATGAATTCTTGCTGGAAAAAAAAATATTTTAAGCAACTGACAGCATGGATTCATGAAAGACAGAAGTTGTCAAACAAGTCTGATTTCTTTTTATGAGGAGGTAAGCAAAACTTTGGACAGAGGTTTGGCGGTGGATGTGATATACTTGGATTTTGCAAAAGTGTTTGACACAGTTCCCCACACATGGCTAATGTGTAAGGTAAAGTCTACAGCAGCGGTTCTCAACCTGGGGGTCGCGACCCCTTTGGGGGTCGAACGACCATTTCCCAGGGGTTGCCTAAGACCATCGGAAAACACATATTTCCGATGGTCTTAGGAACCGAGACGCCGCTCCTGTCTCCGGCGATGTGTGGGCGGGATGATATGCTGCCCCTGTCACCGCCTCCTCGCCGCTGATTGGCCACCGGAACTGTAGCTCAGGAGAGGCACACAGGCGGCCAATCACCGGCGAGAAGGTGGAGCTTGGAGAGGAGGAGTCGAGCGGCAGCGCGCGGAGATCGAAGAAGATCGAGGGAGCTGCAGGAACGAGTGAAGAGAGAGGCCAGAGAAGGAAGACAGCTGACAGGTAAGTGCAAATTTTGCTGCTGCAGCCAGGTATGCAGGCTGTAGATGGGAGAGGGAGAGAGCGAGCCCAGGCTGGAGCAGGAGTCAGCAAGGTAAGTATCATTGGTGTCAGTGGGAGGGATAGTGCCCCATCATTTGTGTCACTAATACCAACGATGGGGCACTAATCCTCCCCCCACTGACACCAACGATGGGGCACTATTCCTCCCCCCACTGACACCAACGATGGGGCACTATTCCTCCCCCCACTGACACCAACGATGGGGCACTATTCCTCCCCCCACTGACACCAACGATGGGGCACTATTCCTCCCACTGATACCAATGATGGGGCACTATTCCTCCCACTGATACCAATGATGGGGCACTATTCCTCCCCCCACTGACACCAACGATGGGGCACTATTCCTCCCCCCACTGACACCAACAATGGGCACTATTCCTCCCCCCACTGACACCAACGATGGGGCACTATTCCTCCCACTGACACCCACAATGGGGCACTATTCCTCCCACTGACACCCACAATGGGGCACTATTCCTCCCACTGACACCAATGATGGGGCACTATTCCTCCCACTGACGCCAATGATGGGGTACCTTCCCACTGACACCAATGATGGGGCACTATTCCTCCCACTGATACCAATGATGGGGCACTATTCCTCCCACTGACACCAATGATGGGGCACTATTCCTCCCACTGACACCAATGATGGGGCACTATTCCTCCCACTGACACTAATGATGGGGCACTATTCCTCCCACTGACACCAATGATGGGCACTATTCCTCCCACTGACACCAATGATGGAGCACTATTCCTCCCACTGACACCAATGATGGGGCACTATTCCTCCCACTGACACCAATGATGGGGCACTGTTCCTCCCACTGATACTAATGATGGGGCACTATTCCTCCCACTGACACCAATGATGGGGCACTATTCCTCCCCACTGACACCAATGATGGGGCACTATTCCTCCCACTGATACCAATGATGGGGCACTATTCCTCCCACTGACACCAATGATGGGGCACTATTCCTCCCACTGACACCAATGATGGGGCACTATTCCTCCCACTGACACCAATGATGGGGCACTATTCCTCCCACTGACACCAATGATGGGGCACTATTCCTCCCACTGACACCAATGATGGGGCACTATTCCTCCCACTGACACCAATGATGGGCACTATTCCTCCCACTGACACCAATGATGGGGCACTATTCCTCCCACTGACACCAATGATGGGGCACTATTCCTCCCACTGACACCAATGATGGGGCACTATTCCTCCCACTGATACCAATGATGGGGCACCATTTCTCCCACTGATACCAATGATGGGGCACTATTCCTCCCACTGACACCAATGATGGGACACTATTCCTCCCACTGACACCAATGATGGGACACTATTCCTCCCACTGACGCCAATGATGGGGCACTATTCCTCCCACTGACGCCAATGATGGGACACTATTCCTCCCACTGACGCCAATGATTGGGCACTATTCCTCCCACTGACGCCAATGATTGGACACTATTCCTCCCACTGACACCAATGATGGGGCACTATTCCTCCCACTGACACCAATGATGGGACACTATTCCTCCCACTGATACCAATGATGGGACACTATTCCTCCCTGACACCAATGATGGGACACTATTCCTCCCACTGACACCAATGATGGGACACTATTCCTCCCACTGACACCAATGATGGGACACTATTCCTCCCACTGATACCAACGATGGGACACTATTCATCCCACTAACATCAGTGATGGGGCGCTAGTCCTCCCACTGCAAAATTACAGTTATGAAGTAGCAACGAAAATAATTTTATGGTTGGGGGTCACCACAACATGAGTAACTGTATTAAGGGGTCGCGGCATTAGAAAGGTTGAGAACCACTGGTCTACAGGCTTGGAAAATCTGTATGTAAATGGATATAAAACTGTCTAAAAGATCGTATTCAGAGAGTAGTGGTTAATGATTCATACTCTGAATGGTTTAGGGTTTTCTGTGGTGTA